GATGCCAGAGGTGCTTCCAATTCCAGTTAAGGCTTGATCCTTTGTCATAGCCCATAGTTGCATATCTCCACTTCACTTACTACTTCAGTTTTGGTAGTATTAAATTACCCTTTCAAGCAAGTATCTAACATTATACTATATTAGGACTTATTCGCACGATCTGTTGATCATCCTTCCAAGCAAATACCGCACAAGTTGGATGCAGAGATGTTGATAATGCCAAATATAGAAATGATAGGATGTTGGTGTTGTCTCTTAGTCACCCCAACTGAGGACTTATACGTGCAATCTTCTATAGCCTAGACCTTCTGTGATGCCGCTATTACACATAGTGCTCACACTCTGCAACTAGGTCTCCTTCTGGGAACTCTTTATTCTGATCTCATATTGCACTTGGACTTTCCACAGAGCTTCACATCCGATTTGGCTCTATATGGTTACAGTAACAAATTTGAAAATTTGCCACCAGCTCGACTCGAACCGTTGACCTTGTCTGTGGGGGTTTGGAAGCTTAACCAATAAGCTACGGGACCCAAACCCTGAACAGACCCAGAATTAAAAGATTAAAATGTTAATTATACTTATTTTATATTTAACTTTCTATATAAAATTTTGGTGGGATAACATGCATATGAAACCTATTTCTATGTTTGACATGTTAATGTGTTGTTTAATATGCATATATTCTAACACGTTAACATGTTATGAAGATTTAGAACCAAGTTTCTTACATCTAGTGTTGGCCATTTGGGTCATATTTAACTTTATATAATCAAGGTGGTCATAATATAATAGTAAATTTTATAAGGTATAACAGGTCATAAGGTTATAATCTATAGTTGGCCAATAGGTCATAACAAATATACTCTACCAATATTAAAACCTAATATTAGACCCCCAGGTCTAGTACATAGTAGAGCATTTGTACCATTAGAAGAGAAATTTTAAAAAAGCATATATAGATAGTTTTTATTGGTCGATATATATAAAAAAAAAAAAATTTCCAATTATCACTTTGGTGATCCGGCCAGGATATGAAAACCAAGTATATAATTTTGTGGGGCCTAATTAATTTTTTTTTTTTTTTTTTTTTTTTTTTAGGAATTTTTTTTAACAAATAATGAACAGGAAAATTTATTTATTTCTACAACTGCAGAATCTGTGTCTAGCTCTCAAAGTTCGGCCCCAGCTCTTACTGTTTTAACTAACAAATCACCAAATAGATGGACATCATCAGAAACTCGGTTGCTTATTGAAAAAGTCAGAAAGCAACAGCATGCATTACAACGAGTAAGAGATCTACAAGAAAAAGATAAAATTTGGAATAATATTATTGCAAATTTACAAAATTCTTCTGATGCAAATTCAAGCTTAAAGGATCATACAAAAATCTTAATTCAACAAAAGTGGGATACTTTTTTTTCAAAAGTATCATAATATAAAAGACACTTTTGGAAGAACTGGTGAAGAAGCAGTTCAGAATGATTGGGAATTTTTTGATGATATGGACAAATATTTAAAAAAGGATCCAAGTATTATGGCACCTATTACAAGTGATTTCATTAATAGAATAAAGCACAAATTATAAAAGTTAGCAAATAATAGTGATGATGAAGTAAATATTAAAATTTTATATATATTATTGTTATATATCAGATATTTATATTTATTTATTATTTTATAGGTTGATTTCTCTAATATTAAAAAAAAATGAGTTGAGGATGAAAAAGTAAATATTGAAGAGTTTTGTATACTTATTAAGAAACAAACTGAAATGATTATTGAAACTATAAAAGATCAACATGTTCGTAAAACTGAAGTTCAGCAAAAGCAACATGACAAACAAATGGAGATCTTTAGGCAACTTTTAATGAAATTATAAAAATAGATTTTATAATTTATTTTCATTAATTTAAAAAAAAAATGTATTGCTTAAATATATTCAATATATTATTGTATTGCTATATATTACAATTGTGAAATATTAAAAAGAAGATTTGTTAAATAATCTCTTTTTTGTATACCTGCTAATCTATCATTTTCTTCATTAACCATAAATAATTCATCATTAGTCTTATGATCTTCAACATGTTATTAACATCATTTTCTTCTATCTCAGTGTCTTCTAAAGACAACAAATCTCCATTATCAATATATAAATTATGTAAGATACTACACGCATAAATAATTTTAATGATACATTTTAGATTAGTACAATAAACTTCTTTTAACAAAATTCTCCATCATCCCTTTAACTGTCCAAATGCTTACTCAACAACCATTTTTGTTGAAGAAAGAATTTTGTTAAAATGTCATTCACGATGTGTTAATAAATCATAATTAGGAAATCCTTTCATCAGGTAAGTTTAAGAGGATAAGCAGTATCGGCGATAATATATATACCACTGGGAACCCATTGTTCAGTATTTAGTAAAATTTCATGATATAGTGAAGAGCGATAAAACATATGGGCATCATGAACACTACCTTTATACAGTATAATAAATTTTATTTTTTTTAAAAAAATATTAATACACATATAAAATTAAAAAAAAATTGTATTAAACCTGCTTTGCCAACATGTATATATGTGAAATGTTCTTGAAAATCAACAATTCCAAAAAAGTTAATTGAATGAAAGCTTTTACGATTTACAAATCGTACACCATTTTTGAAAGGAGGATGGATTAGTATATATGACCCATCCATGGCCCTGATGACATTAGGTAATCTACGATTTCCTAAACCGGTTTTCTCATATTTAAATCTATGTTACTGTAGCTAATCGAGCACCTTGTGGCCACATTATCCAATCATTTTCTACATCCAGTAATGCTTCTAAAAACTGATCTGTGAAATGACATACTGACCCTTGACTAATGCCAAGTGTTTGTTCCAATGTTCGTATGCCTGCTCCATTTGCAAATCACTATAATACAATGACAATTTGCTTCCATATAGGTGTTGCATTAAAGGCTTCTGAAAAAAAGGCTGGATGGTTTTCTAATTGTCTAACAATGTAGTTAAAAGTGGCAAGAGTAATATGAAAATGTCACCGGAATGAATTATAACCTCCTTCATCTGTTAAATATGGAAAAACTTCCAACCAGAATCCACCCGTTTTTGGTCTTTGTTGATGTTGGGCTTTTACATTAGGTAAGAAAAATAAATATAGAATTGCCGCGTTTGACATAAAAGGTAGAAGATAATAAAGATTGGTAAGGTTTACTCTTTAGGTCTCTTGGGATTTTTTATTAATGATAAGAGTTTTGAATATAAAAAGCAATATAATAATTTTTCGACAATTATAATTTTGTTGAAGATCCATGACGAAAAGCACTTGAACAACCTCTTTTTTTACTCTATTAATAAGCAGTTTTGGCCAATCAGCGTTAACTCAATGAAAAAAAGATTGTCTGCGCCTTCAGACTTTTTTCAGTGAAGCGGCAGCTCACTTGATCAATTTTTTTGGCCCCAACTATTTTTTTATTTCCGATCAATTGATTTAGGCGCTTGAGAACACCCTAAGTTAGCGATTTCAGCATAATAGATTCTATAAATTGATACGTATATATATATGCATACATATGTATGTAATTAAGATCAGGTAACTAATATAAATATTATGCTGTTACATATCTTTCAGATCAAATACAGAAACATAATGCTTTCAAAGCATCTTCGCTGGAGAATAATTGAAAAAAAATTTAGAAAGCTTATCATTTCGAAAATTGCAAAATCTTACATGTGAGCATGTCTTCTATAAGTTGAGTTCTCAAGCATTTTCGAAGATATGGATATATTAAAAACTTCTGCAACAGATATTAATAAATCAAGATTTTTTGAATGGAATCGTGAGTCATGCCTTTAAACCATTTCTTGATCATATCTAACTTTTTTAATGTCGGCACTACACTACACGTGTAATATGTTTATTATAAAAGTCTATTTTATATCTGGAGGCTTTTTATATTTCTTGACAATTTTAGCTTCCTCCATAAGTTTTCGCATAAACTAAACACAAATATTCAACCAAAATTTATAACAGTGAACGTGTCAACATTTTAATGGTAAAATTATCTGTAGAACAAGTATTATATGTAGCATGTTTTTATAGGAAAATTACTATAATTTCGCATAAGTTTGTATAAGTTCTGAAGTCAAAATTGTATGTAATTTTTGTTATGTGAATAATGTTGGCCAAAACTCTCGTAGAGCTGTCTCATAAAGTCTAGTAATGCTGGCAAAACTTTTGTAATGCTGTTGCAATAATCAACACTATTTAATGTAAAAGTTACGTGCGTACGTGTACAGTTTTGTAAGTTTATTGAATCTATTATGCCGAGATAATAACTTAACCGGATCGGCCGAAAAATCATTCGCTAATTTTTATCAGGTGTTTCAGAAATTATGATATTAACAGTAAAAAAAATTTTCTTTCCGAAATAAAAGTTAGAATAGAACAAACAAATCTATTATCTCGGCATATTACGGGCGGCGAATCCGCCCACATGATCATGTTCTAATTACCATTTATAAAATAAAACGTGAATGATTACCACCCATCAATCATACTTGTACCCTATAAAATAGTATTTGTGCTCCGCCTCAACTTGTCGACTTGACCAAAAAAATTATTAACTAATGCCTATACTTTTAATCAATTCTAGTACACAACTATATTTGATTGAATATACGTCACACTTTAAACAATGTGATTCAAAACTGCAAGCTGGCGACTTATTTTATAATGATACTCATAATCTAATCCTAACTAAATCACAAAAAATTAGGCTATATATGTTTGTTACAATAATTTAATCCTAACTATATTAGGACCGATAGTCTTTTTGATCCGTCCTATAAAAGACCAGATTGGACCGGCGGCTTTAGTCGGACCGATTAGCAGCCCTAATTTAGAGAGTATAAATCAGCATTTTGATATGCAAATTATAAACCATAAAATGATCTAAGACTCCTTTTTATTATCATTCAATATTATGGGGCATATGTGGTGTGTGTGTGTATTTATGCATACCCTGTAATTATACGTAGGAAAATGTGTGTATGTGGGCTGTAATTATAGGAAAAGTATATTCAACAGGATTTTCGAAATGCAAATTATAGGCAATAAAACGATATAAGACACCTTTTTATTCTTATTATTATTTATATATATTAACATTATGGGGCCATATGTGGTGTATGCGTGTGTATGTGCATAGGCTGAAATTATGAGAAAATGTTTATATAGGCTGTAATTGCAGGGAAAGGTCATAACTAGCATAGTGGCATAGAGAAGAGGAGGATTTTTCGAATGTTGATTACAAATCACGATGCGATATATTAGTTAAAACGGATTGTCGAAGTATACAAATCTCTTGTCCGGAAGAGATATTCGAAATTTTAAATGCGAAACGGATCAACTTAAGGGTATCGAACAATAAGAGTTTAACGGTCACCGCACGATGCAACCACGAATACAAAAATGCTCCGTTTGTGGACACAGTTCATTAATTGTAGCCTCGCCATGTTTTCATCAAAAAGTGACTTAAGTAATAATCGACGATGTGGACGTGGTCCTCGTTTTTTTGGTACTCTAGAGTAAGTACATTCATCATGTCTTTGAAAACATCTGGTACACGTAGATCTGTCAGGCATGCGAGTGCACCTAGCTTTTGAGTGCCTGCAAGAATCACATGCCATTGTCGCGTTACGGCGTTTTGCAGCGGAATGATCTTTACTCATCTTGGACAATTATGTATATTGTTGCTAAATAATATTTTGTGCAAAAATATTAATCATAAATTTTTTGACCTCGTCAAGAGCAAATACATCATCTCATGCTTATATTTATAAAGTATCAGATTAATTAGCACACATATTTTGAATAAGTTTCCTGTTATGATGTCTGAATAATAATAATTTGATTGGTTATAATATCTGAAAGCTAATTTGATTAGTTATGATATCGAAAAGTAATTTGGTTAGTCTGTTACTGCGACAAAATACAAATCAAAATGAAATAAATTATCATACAAATTTGTTATGTATATTGTTTTATATAGAATATTTGAATTTATAAGATCGAAGCCCACTTTTTTGAATTTGTATGTGGTCAAACATAAGGATAAGTTTAAAATTGACAGTAATTAGGTGTAGCTTTTTAAGTTATGTTATCTTGAAATAGAGCAAATGTCTACGTCCTTCTTATTTAGTTATAGATGTTTAACAACTTTCATTATTGTTATGGTTATACCAAATTTGAAATGTGATTTTCTCAAAATAGAAAAAAGCTAAATGATCCCATATAGGCAAGATACTGAAAAATGGACAAAATTAACAAATTTTTTAAAAGATATTTTTTTGTATAAATTAATTTAGAATATCATTTTTTATTTAAGACACAAAAGTAGTTGTATTGATAAAATTTTGCAGTATAGCTTTTTAAAGATTGTATTTTTTATGATTTATTATGATTTATAATATAAAATTGATTTTCCAAAGATCTTTTTTTTTGTCAATTTCATCCCACCTAGCCCATATTATCTTAGTTCAATTACAAAGAACATATAAGTTAACTATTGAAGTTAAATGATGCTGATATTGTAAAAGCTTTCCCAAAACAATAGTAACAGTAATGCTAGGACGGTTATCAAATCGATGCACATATGATCCAACCAATCACATGGAATCATGATCACGTTTCTTACAGAAACTTACACAAGGTTACATAATTTTACAACCCAGAATCTATGAGAATAGCTTAACAGATAACTAACAAATTTGCCTAATCTAATTTAGGTCAAGTATTTAATTATGTGATATGATAAGCACAAAGGTATTACTGGGTTCTTTGTTCTTGAAATTATATATGTATGTATATACATACTGTACAGCGCTGTATACAGTACCATGCGAGACAAATAATATAGAGCAATTTTTAAAATATTATTTATACTATAATGTGACATCAAATTTATTATCCGAAGGACTTTACGGTAGAGGCATAATCTGTGTAACTGTGTGTCCGCGAATTACGAAATTTGATTGGTCAATCAGGACCAATGCCCAAAAATATCCGTTTTGTCGGACTGATCCGGATTCGTATTTATGCTTTCCTTCGGACTTTAAATAGTTTCTATTTACCTAGTTGTCCGAAGGACTTTACGGTAGAGGCATAGTCTGTGTAACTGTGTGTGTCCGCGAATTACGAAATTTGATTGGTCAATCAGACCAAATCAACGGTTATTCTTTCCTTCGGACTTTTAAATAGTTTCTATTTACCTAGTGTAGTAAAGAATTGTGTCACGGCAGATACTGCATGCAGCGCTGTACGATACGTACGTACGTACGTACGTATGTACGTGCTACGAAAAAAAATGGAATTCAATAAGTGCAAATAGAAGTGATTAAAACTTTATTTATAAAAAGCTAATAATATACTTTATCTAATATTAAAGTTTTACGTCGCAATTGTTTTTTTAAAAAATTTTCTAAGTTTATGCGTAGTGTATTGTAGTATTGTACACGGGTACTAATTTGCAAATTCGTGTACGTAACAATTTTTTACAGAGAAAAAAAATCTCGCTTAGGCTTAGAATAAAATAGATTTAGAGTTAGGGTAGAGCGAGAGCTTATATTAAAATTTCATGAGGAATTTTTTCTTTTGTTAGAACCAGAAAGGTTGTTTTATAATCGATACAGTATTTTCAATATTTTAAAGAAAACGATAATTTTATGTTGCACCGGATCTTGCATTCTGATTAGCTTTTCAATATACATAGTGTACAAATAGAAATTGCCTTTTTAAAATTGATTTATATATTTTTTTTTATAAATTTAAAAAAAATTGTAAATTCTAAACTGTAAATGTTAAGTTCTCAACAACTAGTAATCCAAATTGAACAAAATTTTTATATATTACATAACAGACGTCTTCTTACAATATGTAAAAAATTGATATACAGTCTACCTTCGTTATAACGGCTTCCGTTATAGCGGATCCATGGAGAAGTCTTCTAAAATTTTTAAGATCAATTTAAAATTTTATTCTTATACTATATAACTTTATAACGGATTGGATATTATTCTATAGAATAGGTGGGCAATATAAGAAATAAGCTTCGCTAATGATTAGTAATCATTAATTTTTTAATAACGGAGTTGCGGAGTTTGCAGAGTTTGCCCACCTATTCTATAGAACATCCCTTTAATCACATCTATATATTAAAATATGCAATGCAATTTTTTATCACCATTTTTTTCGTAACACAGCGTAAGCTTATGGCATAAGTACTCACTCATATGAGAAACCTTAAATAATTCTTTCTACCTTTCATTGAATTAACATCACTGTATAACGCATAACAATATTTAATTTTTTATAGCACATTAACATTAGAATAATGGACGATGAATTTTCTTATATAAGATCTAAAAATAATGGAAAATGTGCAAATTGCAAGCGATATAACACATCTTACACCTGGTGTCAAACGTGTGACCCTCAGAGAACAACGCAAGTATGGACAAGTGAAAATAAAGAAGTCGATGATTGCATTAAAGAATTTCAACTTAAGGCTACATCTTATATAGACGTAATCGAGTGGATTCCTTTCAATAAATTAGTTAATATTCAAAACATTGGAGATAAATTTTTAGCAACTTGGTTAGATGGAATACGATATTTCAAGCCTAAAAGTAACTATACATGTATGGGATCACGTATGAAATCACATAAGGTGGAGCTTAAAATATTAACTAGGACACAAAATTTAACCGATATGTTAGAAGAAGTAAGTCAAATATTGAATAAATTAATGATATTGCATAACGACAAGATATATATTGTATATAGTTTCTTTTGATTTATTTTATATATTTAATAAGTTTGTAGATTACGTACAGTTAAAGAATAATGAATTTAAAGTCTATGGATTAACCCAAAATACTGCAACAAATGAATATATGTTAGTATGTGATGAATTTTGTTTCAAAAGAAGTAAAAATTATGGAGCATGTACAAATTGCAAGCGATATAATACTTCTAAAGCTTGGTGTCAGACATGTGATCCTCAGAACGCAGCACAAGGGTGGACAAGTGGAAAAAAGGAAGTCGATGATTGCATTAAAGAATTTCAACTTAAAACTACAGAACACAAAGATATAATCGAATGGATTCCTTTCAATAGATTAGTTAATCCCCAAATCATTGGTGACAGATTTGTAGCAACGTGGTTGGATGGAATACGATATTTAAAGCCTAAATATAAATATAAATATAAGCGATCACGTATGAAATCACATAAGGTGGATCTTAAACCATTAACTAGGACACAAAATTTAACCGATATGTTAGAAGAAGTAAGTCAAATATTGAATAAATTAATGATATTGCATAACGACAAGATATATTTTGTATATAGTTTCTTTTGATTTATTTTATATGTTTAATAAGTTTGTAGATTACGTACAGTTAAAGAAGAATGGATTTAAAGTCTATGGATTAACCCAAAATACTGCAACAAATAGTTATATGTTAGTATTTGATGAATTTGGAAGAAATACAAATTATGGAACATGTTCAAATTGCAATCGATATAATACTTCACTCGCTTGGTGTCAGACATGTGATCCTCAGAAAACAGCACAAGGGTGGACGAGTGGAAATGAGGATGTCGATAACTGTATTAAAGAATTTCAACTTAAAGCCACATCTTATGTAAGTGTAATCGAGTGGATTCCTTTTAATAGATTAGAGAATATTCAAAAGAATGATGATGGATTTCTAACAACTTGGTTAGATGGAATACGATATGCAAAATATGTAGGTGGTAAATATACATTTACACAAACACGCACGTCGGCATGCATGATTGCACTTAAAATATTGACTGGTTCACAAAATATTCAAAGCATTTTAAAAGAAGTGAGTTTATATTTTTTTTTGTCATGTATAATTTAATTTATAGTATACTTATTTCATATATATTTCTATATTTATATATTTATAAGTTTACAAATCAGGCTCGGTTAGGTGCAAATATTTATGGACTAACTCAAAACACCGCAACAAATGATTATATGTTAGTATTTGATGGATTTAGTTCTAAAAGAGATTATAAGAATGGATTATGTGCAAATTGCAATCGATATAACACATCTAAAGCTTGGTGTCAACCATGTGACCCTCAGAAGACAACGCAAGGATGGACAAGTGGAAATAAGGAAGTCGATGATTGCATTAAAGAATTCCAACTTAAAGCCACATATTATGAAAACGTAATCGAATGGATTCCTTTTAATAAATTAGTTAATATTCAAAACATTGGTGATAAATTTTTTGCAACTTGGTTAGATGGAATGCGATATATAGAGTCTAAAAGTAATGAATATACAAAATATACGAAATATACGAGATCACGTATTAAATCACATAAAGTGAGGCTTAAAACATTAACTATATCACCAAATTTAGCGGATATATTAAAAAAAGTAAGAAATATGTATTTCAT